ATATATATATATATATACATATATATATATATATATATATATTTATATTTCATGCAAACAAACTACCTCATTCATATTTACTCTCTCTGACATGAAAGTATGGATCCAGCTCCTCCAAAAATAGTTATAAACACGGTGAACACATATTTTGATTTGTCTGAGACAGTGCTGGCTGAAACCTGTTATCCTGGAGTAATTAACACCTCCCCATTTCACTCTCAACAGTGTCCCAGTTTAGAAAATAAATTATATGATTGACCTATCCACAGATCTCTAAGATACAAAAAGATGGACAGGCATTCTACAAAATAACTGCCCTGTGTTCTTCAAAAAAATGCCCCAAAAAAGGGACTGAGGAGTCATGACACTCATTACAATGTGTGACTCTAGACTAGATTCTGGCAGGAAAAAAATTACTCTAAAACAATTATGGGAAAATTGGTAAAATCTGAACATAAACTGTGGAATAAATAATACTGTATCAATACTAAATACTTGATTATTTAAGAGAATGTCCCTTGTTCTTAGGAAACCCACAAAGAAGTATTTAGGAGTAAAAGGGCATCATGTTTAAAATTTAATTTCAGAAAATTACATTCACACATATCTACATGGAACAAGAATAATAAAACAAATATGACAAAATGTTAACATTGGTTAATCTGGGGGAACAGTATTACAAAACAGTGTATACAAAGATCATTTCAAGCATCTTAAATTATTTAAAAATAAGATAAAGAAAACATCATTGGGAGGAGAGGGGGGTAGACCTGTTAGAAACTATCCTCCAATAGTATTTTGAAGTTTCCCTCCTACTAATACTTAGAAGTCAGCTAAAATAGTAATTTTTCATATATAAAACAAATTATCACATAAATAGATTTAAAACCTGAATACTATTACTAACCTCTTTCGAATTCTAGCATTAAATAGTGGTGCCTCAAAACGTGGATTTGTACCAACCAGAAGGACAACATCTGCCTCTTCCACACCAGCAATTGTAGTATTAAGAAGATAATTGGATCGCAAATCTGTGCTAGAAATACAAAATTAAAAATACAAGTTTACTTTAAAACTAATATACACTGACAATCCACGGAATATCTTCGTGTCAACAAACCCATGGCAATCCCAGACAAAGCATTTTTATGAAGTATTCCTAAATTACATCAAAGTTTCAGAAACTTATTTATAATTGGATTCTGCAATACCTCCTGATTTAATGCTGGTCTATATGTGAAAATAAATTGGTGGGCATGTTAGAGAATCCAAGTTGTCTCATTTCAGTCATAGATACTATAGATGTGTTGACTTATACACAGGAAGGAAAGGAGGGAAGGAGGAAAGTAGGGAGGGAGGTGGAGAGGGAAGGCAGGAATGAAGGAAGGAAACCTAGATCCTAGCTTTATAATTCTCACCCAGCTCCTGCAGTGGGGAAGACCTCTTCAGTGCATAGGGTGTCAGAGTCCACTCTATTAAGCAAATCTTTGAGAGCTACTAGGGCTTCAGCATCCACCAAGCCACCTGCAATTGCTGCCACATCTTTGCCTTGAAAACTCTGCAACTGGAAATGAACGCAAAAGGTATCACTAAGGAGTTTTCATTCAGCAAAGACCACAATGAACAGTTCAGAGAACAAAAGAATCATTTCCAACTGTAACTGAAAAATTAAAAAAAAAATCATTTTCAAGTAGGAAAAAAGCAACAAACTTCTAATAAAAAGTTTCACACCAATGATTAATTAATCTGTGAGATGCAGAGGTATATGTGGGGCCAACCCTAATAACACCAGCCTGGAAGGAAGCTGTTTGTTTTAAATTAGGAACAAAAGGGCCTCAAAATGAGGTCTGGAGGATGAAGACTAGGAGTTATAGTTAAATACAACTTTTTCTCAAGCATCTGTCATTCCCTCAAGCCCTGCATGTTGAAAGGCATTCCCTCTATATTTGCTTTGGCAAACTAGTATTCATTATTCTTAAATTTTGCCTAAGGAGTCACCTTATCTAGGAAGGCAGCCTTGATATGCTAGCCCTGGTTAGGCACCACTCATATATCATTTGTATGTCATATATCATTTCCTGCACAACTACCCATAGCAGCATATGATAATTGCCTAATTAGGTATCTTTCCCTACAAGACTGTGAGAGATGTGTTAGTGATTTCTATATCCCTGCATCTAGCATTACATCTGGCATACAGTTCTCAATAAATGTTTGTTAATAATCTTTGCAAAGGGAAAGAAGTGAAGAAATATATATCTCTTCTTCACTACAAAGATGTCACTGAAAAATCACAAATACTATTTATTTTATATGTCCATGTTTTACCATTCCAGCTACACGAGAGAGTGCATCCTCCCAGGAAGTATAGGTTAAAAGCCCTTTTTCATTTCTGACCATCGGCTGGGTAAGTCTTTGACGTTTTAGCCCATCATAGGCAAATCTAGATTAAACAGAAATTACACCATTTGTGGAATCTTGATAAAGAGGCAACTATAATTTCCAAATTTAAAATCTAAAAAAATGTTAAATTCATTATCAAGTAAGTTAATAAATACCTGACAAGTAATTATTCTAGGTTTTCTTAGAGGTAAACTAATAAATATTTTACGAATATCAGGTAAAAACTAAAATACCACCTATAAAGCTTGAATTCTTATAACTTATTTTCAGCTACCTGAATAATCTTAAAATTACACAAACAATATGACAGCTGAAAAAGCTAAATCATTTTTATTTATAAAACTTGAGTGCCTCTAGATATTTTATCAAAAAATTATGTTGCATAAACTCTGATATTTTGCTTATTTTCTCCAATAAACAAACTTACATATCTTCATCTACTTTAATTTCTCCGTTTAGACCAGTGGTTCTCAACCTCCTGGCCCTTTAAATACAGTTCCTCATGTTGTGACCCAACCATAAAATTATTTTCATTGCTACCTCATAACTGTAATGTTGCTACTGTTATGAATGAATCGTAATGTAAATATCTGATATGCAGGATGGTCTTAGGCGACCCCTGTGAAAGGGTCATTCGACCGCCAAAGGGGTCGCGACCCACAGGTTGAGAACCGTTGGTTTAGAAGGAAAAAAGATGTATCTCAAAGTTAATATGAAAACCAGTGACATATCTAAAACTATTGTTAGTTTTGTCCAATTCTCTATATTAATAGTACAGAATTTAATAGCCTATATTCATTAATTTGCAACTATACAAAAGATAGTTCTTTAAAATTATTATAAAATTTCCTTTAAATCAATTGCAAAAGGAGAGCAATATAGCATATACCTGGTTTTATCAGAGATCCACTCTTCATTAATGTCCTCATGCATTCTTGGCAAAATCCTCATCACCTCTCCAGTTCTTGTGCTTACCACAATATTACTTCCAACTGCATCCATTACATCAATGGATTCTGTCTTTCTGAGAAAATATATACATATATTTGCTATGTTGATTTTATGAATAAGAATAAAGTTTCTGCTATCTGGTTTACCCCAAACAAAAAACTGTGTAATTACTTTCCTTTATGAATTTCTAAAAATAATGGAACTCAGAGAAAATGCTTTAAGAAAATTTTAAAAACCCTCATATTTGAACATATCACATAAATTCCTAATGCAAAAATGAAGACTTTAAAATTGTTCTGATATAGAAGCCAACTGGAAGGGCTTTAAATGGGCAAATCTGAAACAATTTGAGTATCAAAATAACTAATAAGAAGGGAGAGATTTCTGGCTTGGTTATTTAAGAGCTTGACAATTCCTTCCCCCCCAAAAAACAAAAATAAAATTGAACAAAATTAAAAACAACCAATTCAACACTCTGGAACTCTACCGAAGGGAAACTCATAGAAACTCTTTTGCCTGGAAAAACAGCTTAACTTTAAGAAGAGTGGAAATCAGCGGTATTCTGGCTTAGGGCAGTTCTTAGCCCTCCTCCCACCACCTTGAACTGGAGGTTTGCCAGGATAGGGCAGGCTGTGAAGATGGGAGCTTCTTTCCTGCAGATGAACAATCACTCAATTTGGAGCAATGAGGAAAGTTGCCTGGGGAAGTGATATCATGGAGATCCTTGAGCTGAGGAGAGCCACATGTACTAGAGGTTGTAGTCATAGTTGGGGCAAGCACTCCTAGCAAAGGCTGTTCATATATGTGCAGCTGAGACCAGAGGGCCCCAAGCTATTCACACTCCTAGACGACACTGAGATTCAAAGTATCCAGTGGAAACACATTGGGCCAACTTGAAAACAGCCTGAACTTTGAACGTGCTCCTCTATCCACACACAGATCTACTGGCTGAGTATGGAAGCCTTATTGGCTGAGGAGAAGGGAACAAACTCTAATTAAACATCTGTTTTGTACTGTTCTCCACCTCCCAATCCTTTTGCACACATAAATACAATGTTTGATACCTGGAATTTTAAGAAACTCCATAAACTCTGGTGGAAGTTTAAAAGTGGAGGGGAATTTGATTATGTGTTTCTAAAACCTTAAAAATATTCAAATTTGTTGTACTACCAACTCCATTTCTTGGTTTAATCAGAAGAACCAGAGATATACAAGAAAATTTATGAATGTTTATCATAGATTTGTAATTATAAAAAATAGAAACAAAATGTCTAATCATAGGAATTGGTTAAAGTACGATATATTCACATAGTTAAAAACTTAATATACAATGAAAACAGACCATAAATTTTAAATTTGCAGTTTCATTCTATCCTACAATCTATAACTATTTATTTTCCAGCAAAAGGGTTTTATTTGCCCAGCTGGCATGGCTCAGTGGTTGAACGTCAACCAATAAACCAGGAGGTCATGGTTTGATTCCCAGTCAGGGCATATGCCTGGGTTGTGGGCTCGATCCCAATGTGGGGTGTGCTGGAGGCAGTCAATCAAAGATTCTCTCTCATCACTGATATTTATATCTCCCTCTCCCATCCTCTTTGAAATCAATATAAGATGATTTTACTTAATGCACACAAATAATAACTTAGCAGACCAAAGCACTTAGGACTCAGAAAGAAAATTCTTTAAAAAGTTTTTAATGGTAGCAAAGGGCAGAAATTATCTAAAAAATACAATGATGAGTACCTTGTTTCCCAAGGCCGGGCAGTGAAGGCATAGGGCTTAGAGGTCAGGGCACCTACAGGACAGATATCAATGACATTCCCAGACAGTTCAGACATAAACATCTTTTCAATGTATGTGCCAACTTGCATATCATTTCCTCTGCCTGTTGTTCCCAAATCATCTACTCCTGCAATCTCACTTGCAAACCTGCAAGACAAAAATATACCATAAAATGGTCAAATCCAGCAAACTTAATCTCCTTTCCTACAATGATTTTCAAGCACTAAAAAAGATGTGAGTATATTTTCAATGGTGAGCATACTCCCTAGATAAAAAGTAATTCTATAGCCCAGCTGATGTGGCTCAATGGTTGACTGTCGACCTGTAAACCAGGAAGTCACAGTTCGATTCCTGGTCAGGGCACATGCCTGGGTTGCAAGCTCAATCCCCAGTTCATGCAGAAGGCAAGTGATCAATGATTCTCTCTCATCACTGAGGTTTCTATCTCTGACCTCTCCCTTCCTCTCAGAAATCAATAAAAAAATATTTTTTTAAAAAAACCAAAATTCTATGTTTGCATTTGAGGCATAGCACACATACATAAAATTGCAAAAATTACATGTATATAAGCTCAGCAAATTACCACAGAGCTAATGCTTATAGATTTATTTTTAATGCTTATAGATTTGGTTTTTAAATCCAACTGACATTGATATTAACCAAAAGTAACCAACTTATTCATTTTATTGGCTGATGCAAAAAAAACATTTAAAAACATTTCTCTTCTCCCACCAAATGAAAGTGTTGTTATTCCACCAAATTTTATGAATATTAAAATAAGTATACAAATGATATTCCAGAAAGGGGGGGTGGGGGAATTACCTGATGCAGCGAGTACACTGTATACATCTAGTCATAATGGTCTTTACCAATGGCCCAATATTCTTGTCCTCCACAGCACGTTTCCCCTCTAAAAACCGGCTCCTATCACTTCCAAACATCATGGACTGGTCCTTAAATAGATCACAAGAGAGTTAATCTAATGCTGGTAATAAAATTAAAACTTGAGACAACCAAATAGATTCGTAAGATTAGCCTACATACCTGCAGATCACATTCGCCTCCCTGATCACAAATAGGGCAGTCCAATGGGTGATTTGC